TATATATATATATATATACATATATATATATATATGCATGTATATATATATATACATATATATATATGCATGTATATATATATATATATATATACATATATATATATGCATGTATATATGTATATGTATATATATATATATGTATATATATATATGTGTGTGTATATATATATGTATGGATATATGTATGTATGCATGCATGTATATATATATATATATATATATATATATATATATATATATATATATATATATATACTTCAGAAGCTGTTGTTTTGATAGGCATTGCCGAAACAAGACAGTAAAGCAATAGACAACAAATGCAACCACAGCCCATATCAAGTCAGCAATTTGATATCATAAATACTATATGGTCAGTTCCAATTCCCAATAGCACCAATCCACCACTAGGGGAGTTTCTTCACAACCTGTGCACAAGTCCAAAATTGGTAGGCATCATTCCTTACAGAGGGGGATAAAAGAGGAAGAAGAAAACAGGAAAAAAGAAATGCAAAAGCAGAGTTCAGATGTGCCCCCCACTGGTTTACATGGCATGAATGGCTTTCACAAACCTATGCACAGCGAACAGGAAGTTCATCCCAAATAGCATGTGAAACACAGACACAGCGGTATTTTTTCTATTTGCCCATACTCTCAGCTTCAATATGCTAGACATGGCCAAGAGTACGTGAAATGGCAGCGAGATTATTTTCTGTCGTCATGATCGCTCTCAAGCTAAAACTGTACAGTTGAAAAATGATGCTTACTCGGGGATCCGGCATCAGCTCTTGTCAATCACCTCGGCTGGCATGTTCAGATCAAAAAGAGGAGCACCTCCTTGAGCCTCTGTGCGGGCACGCTTACGAGAAGAACATCCACTTTCGTCCGAACTTGAGGAAGCATGTTTGCTAGGTACTGCTACCCCTGCATTTCATTTTGAAAACATTACATGAAAACTTTATTTAGGGACCAACTCTAATTCCATCTGCAATAACTATTGAGAATAAAATTACGTCAAGTTTGCTAATGTACAAAGAGAGAGAGAGAGAGAGAGATGTGAAAGGAGACAGTGGCATCAAAACTTCTAATTTGGATAATCGATTGAGCAAAATTCATTATAATGAGCTAGACAGGTAAGAGTTGTACCAATTCCATTATGAGCTGAACCCAACTGCGCAGAGTTGTCATCATGACTAGTCTTCGTGCTCGTCAAACTTTGGTCAGAATCCCAGCACACGGATAATTCTGATGCCCTCTCAAGACCTTTTGATTTATAAGGAGCGATATTATGAGTCGCACGTTGAAGGGGGTACAATAAGTCATTCTCGATGCATTGGTACCTGCGAGGACAATTATGTCATTATGCATAAGCAATAAAGCCGAACACTTGTAAAGCATGCGCTTACATCTGTTTGCAAAGTCTATCAACAACGTTAGACAGATTGATGACATGCCGCATAATGTCCATGACCTCATCATCTGAAAAGTGCTGAAAATCTTTCTCCAGAAACATAGAGAGTTTCTCCACATTAGCCTCTAGCTGTTGCTGCTGGTCCTCAAATAAGTTCTGTTTCATGTCTCTTTCCTGTGGTGTCATCTCATCCTTAAAGAGTTCATCCCCAAACATGTAGAACGCAAATGGATACGAATATGACAAAACACGTCTTGATCTGAAGAGCCTATTCAATCCATTTATCACCCAAGTGTAATCTTTGATTTTGGATTCCTTGTTCTCTGAAATGGAAATCTTTCCCTGAATGGTTTCCTTGAGATTGCTTTCCTGCTTGAGAGAATCTGTATGAGCCTTGTACCGATTATGATAGTGCATATAACGGTAAAGGTCACGTCTTGCACGCTCGGTCCTCTTTGCTTGGTCGTCTTTGAAGCGACCACAACTGTGACCACTGATGCTAGACCATGTATGATCTCTTCCAGTAGCGCCACCACATAACCAACTGTTAAAGACCATAAAATCAAATGAAACAAAGAAAGCTTCATGCATTAGAAGACTTGATCAAAGCTTCGATGTCCAAAGGTTCTAAATTTTCTTTCACTAAAACAGTGGAAAGGTAAACAAGCCAAAAAGCTCAAAACAATCGATGTCTGCAGATTTTTTTTTTTTTCAAAATTGAACCACAGAAGAAACCATTGTACAGTGAACCAGACGAAAACACAATGTCTCTCCAGGGCATAATAGAACAGTACCCACCTGAGGGAGAAACAATAGTTGATTACTGGGTTCATGCATATAAAATGTTGAGTATCAAAGCTTAAAACTCAGTAGTGGTACAACAAAAATTTGAACTTCATCAAGAAAGATAAATGCATTATGCATTAGATAGATCCACTAAATTATATCAGGTCCATTCTATATATTGAAATATCCAGGTTAAAACACAATAAAGTGGGATAATAAAATCTTAGACATTGTCTACCAAGGTAAAAACAATACCTATTACATTGAATTCACACACCATGAACTACAATGACATAGTATGGAACAAAACAAGTGCAAGCACCAGAGATGTAACATTACCCACTGTATCATTGGCAATGACATACAAAACTTTCAGTGTGATATGACCAAAAATGTTGGGTAATCCCCAGAGAACAATAATGTTCTAATGTAGACAAGAAGAAAAACGAACACAAGTTTAATTCAGAAAACAAAAAAGAACAATTGATTACAATACCCAAAAATAGCAAGCTCTGCTCTTCAAATTTCTGGATGGTAGTACAATTCCAATTTATCGGTCTGCACAACAAATCCTCTATTCTGGGCACTTTTGATGTAAAATGAATGAAACTTCAAATTGTTTCACAGGCCTATGATTTTGTAAAATTTCCTAAACAATAATCTTCGTAATTTCCAACCGAACTTTGTTTTTAACTTTTTATGATTTATAAAGCAACCCTCTACATTAGTCAGGATATGCTTACGCAATGTCCCTAATTATATTCCTTACTATCTGTAACTGACTTGTCCACATTCCATGAAGCAACAGTTTTCATGGATCTATGAGAAGCCTATAGAATTCGATTAAAATGATCGAGCTAATTAGGCTCCAAATCTCAGATGATGCAGATATACATAACATAAAACTATCATATGTAACTTTTCACGAATCAAAAAATTTGAACATATTTGTCTTTGGCCAAGTCAAACAACTCTGTGACTCGATCATGTCTTAAGATCTAGATGTAAATCATTCTCTTGTTCAAAACATAGTTTCAATGATCTGATTTCTTTTTTCCTTGTGTGGATGACTAACCTAGAGATTCTCATGGCCATTATCTTATTTACTCAGGTTTGTCCTTATGTCAACTGCAAGCAACGAGATTATCAAAAACAGAAAGCAAATCATAGTATTTTTAACGTCAAGTCGATAAATTTAATTAGTTGCCCTCAATCCCAGTAAATGGATATGAATATTCTGGTATGCACAAATTATAATAGCTCCTACTTTGGGATTCTAACTATTAAAAATCCGAGAAGATTTTTTATAACATCTTAATAATGATTGTCTTCATTTGATGTTCTACCAGGACTTTTGGATAGCATCTTTAAGTGAAAATTTTAAAGGCAAAGGACTTTTGATCTGTGTGATATAGGAATTTTAATTCATAAAAATCTCTGCCTGCCACACAGTTTGCAGGATCAACTGATTGCCAATCCACTTTGAATGATCTAGATCAAGATCTGTCAAGTATAATGCTGATTACTAGATGTTAGAATCATTAGCATTGGTCACAAATAGTTGAAATGACCAATTTTGGGCACACCTGGCCGTCTTGCATGTCTCAGCTGACTTCAAAGTCATCTCAGTACTCCAGCCAATTACCCTAGTCAAGCTAATCCTGGCAGATCATGAGCAAGTTCCCACAGATTCCAGCTAACTTTTAGGTTCTAGTTATTTAAAGAAAGACCTGATCCATGAGCTAATTAGGTTGATCCAGCCAATACACACCAATTCCAAACTTAAATAAAATGGCTAATGCCAACTTGATCAAAATCCCATGAACACTGGTCTAGAATGCTTCTACGCAACCTTGCAGGTACTTGAACCATCCTTCCAGTGTTTGCATATGCAGGTACATAATTATATTTCACACGTTTAAACATATTTGATTTTCCTACAACATCACTTTTGGTAGGTACCAGCAGGATCAAGTTAAAAGGCTTCAGAAAAAAAGAACAGAAAGAAGACGAAAAAAATGAAGGTCACGGGATCTCTAATGATGCCTTCAACTCTACGCATAGAAAACTAAAGAAATCTAAGTTAAACTAGATGACTAGCCATATGAAGGCCAGTCCTGAGAAAAAGTCATAACAAGACTATTATATATCAATATTACATAATAAATTCATCATAGCATTTCCAAGCAAAAATAAGTTCTCCAAGGTTTAATAGGTTGTCTCACAGGAATGCTGAAAATAACATATAATTTAGCTCAAAGAGACTCTAAAACCTCAAAAGAAAAGCAACTAAAAATAACAATTTAAAATTAGTAATGTACAAATTTCACCACATTTTTCACTGAAAATTAATAAGATCTACACTGCAATATATAGTGATTATTGGCATATCTGTTATAGATTTCCACATTTTTGTAGATTAAATATAGGCTTAAAAGAAATAGGTCCTAGAACTTATGGCTAAATGGATAAGCACAAGCAGTACCTGAAAAGAAGAGCTTCATAGGATTCCTATTCCAACAAATTCTGGGAAATTTGAGAATCCAAATGGCAAAAATTATCAAATACTTCATTTTTTCACTGACAAAGATAAGCAAGTGAAAGCATACCTCTGATACTTATTTCTCCCACTGAGTACCATAACCATCGAACCTAATATCTAAACCAAGTAATACAATTTAACAAGGAAAAGACCTTTGGACACTGAAACTCAATTTTGAGAGACTTCAAAGAAACCCCATGATATGTTAACATGAATGAAAATATCATAATTCTTTTTCTCCAATTCTTATTGTAGGAGGAAGAAAAAGAGAAGGTGAGGAGAGAAAGGCAGCAGCAGCAGTGACAGACATCTGCAGCAGTTGCAGGAGGAAGCGGATAAGGAGACCAGGAGCAGACTAGCAAACGGCAGTCATATGTGGTAGACACTTGCAAACGATGAGAGGAGGAAGGGAAAAGATGCTGCATATCCAAAGCTATCACAGGTTAGATTATACAGCTGTAAAGGATATTCTACCATGGCGAACTGAGTCAACTCAGTCACAACATCGGTATACCTAGGTAAGAATTGTTTGGTTCATGGATCTATTAGGAACAAGACGCCTAACTAGATTACCTTAAGCCTTTTTCTATTTCAAGTTTAATCAAAGATTTAAGCTTAGATGTAGAATGGTCAGTAATGAGAGATCTATTTGGGGCAACATCACAATATATCATCCGAAATAAAGCAACCATAGGAAAAAGAACCCAAGTATTTTATCAGTCTGGAATAGCATAAGGTACCTAGCACAAAAACTCAATGGAAAGGGCACTAAAAAAATTATGGCATACAGCAATAAAAATGCAGACTAAGATCAGATGCATGCTATAATGAATGAATCTGAGTCTACTAAAAGGGTTAAAAACACCATAAAACTCGCAGAATGACCAACATAAGCACCAATAAAGAAGAAAATCCTCACCAGAAAGCTTGCCCACATATACATGCAACTAGGTTACAGCCACCATTCTTTTCAACTGGTTTGTGACATTTTGGGCAGGGTTTTGTGTTCACTGTTATCCAATTAACAGTTTCTGATTCATCCTGGCATTTCTTGGTCCATAGCTCCCACATCAAGCATGAACAAGGTGAGTGTGCTTCTGATAAGCAACTGAAACAAAATTGTATCCCACAAGTACATTCAACCTCACAATAAATATCACCCTCAACACGTATTGCATTTCCACAATGTGGAACGCTGGGGCACCACTTCACCTTATTGTTGTCTTCAATATATGATTCAAGTAGGAATCGATCAAAACGATCAGCAATATCTGGATGTTTTGCACTGACCAAATTCCTTATAACTGCCTCATCACAAACAGCACTGCACTTGGGTGCCATGCACCTAATGCGACGACTCTGCCCGTCATTTATCTTGACAATAAAATGCTCTGTCCAACCTAAACCATTAAACATAAAACCATATTAGTGGCTCAGATAAATGCATATAGAATACAATTTAAAACCTTATAGAAAAAGAAAGTCTGGTTTATAAATCAAAGTTAAACAATCCAATGGAAGTCAACGAGGAGAAAAAAAAAAAGAGCTAGTTAATAAGATGATAGTAGTCAATGGGCATCAATTAGGTGGTTCAAAATGTTCAACAAGGATACAAATTCACAGCTAGTCCATGAAGAATGATGATCCTCTAGAACCAGGTTTACTATTACTAGCTGATGCAAACAAAGGCACTGTTAATGTACTTCTGAGGCATATTTATAATGATTTGGACATTTGAGGCCAAAATGTTGTATATGTACCTCAAAAGACCCTAACTCTATGTTTACTCCAGATGTAAACAAGTATTTGCGACTACAATGACAGATAATTGTAGGTGGCAGTACTCTTTTCAATGTCTATGCAAAATATTAACTGCAAGTATCCTTTAATGCATACGTGTGAAATGTTAAGTGTGATGATTTCTTTCGTTTATATACCTGAGAAAGCATATGTGAAATTGCTCATTGTTTTAAATTTTACAATTTAGCAACAAGCAGAACCAAGCAAATTTATGAAGAAGAAAATGTGAATGTTATATTAAGGATAGATAGAGACAATTCTGGAAATACATTTTACAGTGAAGGTGATTTGATGTCCTTCAAACACTTATGCTTGAAACCATATGGAAGTCAGAAAACTTACAATCATTGCAGAAACTGTGCCCACAGTCCATCTCAGTGACTGCACCTGGAGGAAAGCTCTCGAAACAGACATTACACGTGCCTGAACTCGATGAAGCAGACAAGCCTTTGTTCTCGACAATCGTCACTCCTGCTTCTGAGAACAATCGCTCCCTTCCCTTCTGATCGAGCAGTTCAAAGATTCTCTCGACATCCCAGCGGTAATGAATCAACAGGGTCCTCGCATGCTGCTCTTTCAGCACCAACAACTCCATCACCTTTCGCAGATCCTCCTTCTACAAGAAGAAGGAATCGCTCAGAGCAATTCGACTATGCTCCACATAGATCCACATGATTCTGAGCAAAATAAGTTTTACCTGAGCTGCCAAGAGAGACTCTTTTGTGATAACCTGCGACATGGGAAGAACAAACTAGAGAAATCCATCACTCAAAGAGAGATAAAAAGATAAAATTCCTAAGCCAAAAGAAGAAAGCTTTCGAATTTCCGCTAACAACAAACTTCTTTCTCTCGTGGTCATAAACAGATAATCTCAATGCTTCACAAGAAAACCATCCGTGTCCAAGGATTGAAAACTAATTTTTTTCTTTTCCAAAATACGGATTGAAACGAATAAGACAAACGAGAAAACAGAACGATTGAGAAGCCATTCACAAGAGATCCACTCCGAGAGATTCGAGATCGCTGAAACCCTAGGGGGGGGCACCAAGAACCAATCCGGAGTCGGGGAAGAGAGAGAGAGAGAGAGAAGGCGCCGATACCGAGGAGAGCGACCAGTGGCAGTCCTCTTCGCGCCCGTCCTCGAGACCCTGGAGGACGTTCTCCTCGATGGCGTCTTCCTGGTCAGTGATGTAGCAATCGTCTTCCTCCACATCGCTCGACGACGGGCAGTCCTCGTCTTCCGCCATGCGGAGCGCCGGGGGATTGAATCGGGGAGGTAGAGGCGAAGGGAAGGGGAAGCGATCGGATCGAGATGGGCAAGAATCGATCGAATTGGGGGGCCAAGGAGGAGGGTTCGAAGAGAAGAGAAGTCGAGCACAGAAGCGATCGGAGAGGAGGGGGCGGAATGAAATAGGGGTGCTTTTGTGAGGCCCTTTTTTTAAAAGAAGGCTATCATGTAAAATACTTCTTTAAAGGTTTGTCAATAGCATACTCACCCTTTGTAAATTTCGGTACACTGTTTAATATTATTTAAATATTAATACCATTCTCATGAAATAACGTATTACTTACTGTATTATAATAATATAATAATATGAGTATTATTATTGTCTTAGATTTATTATCAATAGGTTTTGCATGTCACCATCAAAAGAATATTTTAAATGTAAAATTTATTAAACGAGTCTTTGAACCCTTAATCGCTAAATGAGATTTTGTGCCCTTAATATGTAGATGTGACAGATGATCAGTACTTTAGGCGTAATATTATTATTAAACAAATATTTGGGGTATAATTTTATCCAACAAGATTTCGAGGCTTCTATCTTTCATGAGTTTTGAGTATAATTGTTCTTGATAAGTGGTTCAGTATATTCTCGTTTTGCTAATATTTTAGGTGAGGCTAATAAGCTTATTTACTTGATCTAATATAATTAGTATAGAAATCACTTATTCTCAAGTAATATGTGTTAGCGAACAACAAATATATCGTGGTCGATGAATCAGCACGGCTAGGTCCGCGAATCGATGTTGGGAGCCTACTATAGGGTGATTTGAATGATGAGGTGGTTGGGCCCTCGAGAAGGAGTGCTGTTGGCATTGGCCAAGATCAGGGCTGATTAACAACTCCACACTGTTGGGCGGCTGGTGCTCCCGTGCCGAGTCCCTCGTTGTTAACGAGTGGTCGTCCTCCTACAAAAATGGTCTTTGTTGGGTGGTCCCCGGTTGTGGCCCATCTGACGAACAAGTTAGTAACGAGAGGGATTGCTTTTCCTTTTCCCTTTTTGTTTTCTGTCTCTCCCCTAGCGGGAGGCTGGCCAAGGGTTTTATACTATGGTGCGAGGGTTGATGGTGCGTTGATTCGACGTCGCCGCTGAACCCCGAGGGATGGGACGACCCTTTTGACCGGCCATCGTTCCGGGATGTGCAGAGCGACGTCAAACGACACCGCCTCGAGCTCCTGGGACGAGACGTGTGACATATCTTCTTGGTACGAGCTCTCGAGACGAGACGTGTGGCGTAGGGCTCTAACTTGGCATGTAGTGTCAGTGACGTATTCAGCCACCAAAATATACCGTATCAATATGCATACATTTTGTAATTTTTTGAATTCCAGAGAATATAAAAATCACTTTGATTTAATGAAATTTAACATTACATACTACTTTTGGCTATTATAATATTAATACTGAAACTCATCAACCTATGATTATGATTTCTTTATGAGATCTATTTTTTTTTATATACATATATCTTTTCTTTCAAGTGTTGATATGAGATAGATATCGTCTAGAAAGACATAGAACAAGTATGTCCAAGGAGTCATTGAATTAAAGTTGGACATGTGACACAGTAGTAGTAGGCCAATCAATGGATCAACTCAAATTTTGGTAATTTTGTTGTTTTATTGATATCTAAAACAAGTCTTTTTCTACATTAACAAGTTTGCCCATGGAGAGGTATTGAACTTGGTGATTGATTTGTTGCTTTATGCATCTCCTAAAACAGCTCCTGTTCTCCACGTTACAGACATGCATAGTTTAGAAAAGGTCACTCGCTCAAGAAAATTATAGATTGTTTTTAGACAATTGATTTGATCGATACATGGTAGCGTGATATTATTGGTTCATGATGCAAAATGCTGATCGGGTACATCATAGTGACCCATAATGATTGACATCAATATTATACAGACATACCATGGGTTTCACGGCCACGTGGATGCATTTGCTCCAAAGCTATCTCAAACCCTCCACGTATTGGGTTGTCTACCTCTATTTCTGTGCGTCGTTGGAGCACGTCAAACTCCTTTCCAAACTGTTGCTGGAAGGCGTAGACAAATCCTGTCAACAAATTGCTTATTATATAACACGTGGAAGTCTCGACTCAGATACACCGTTGATTTTATGATTTGTGCATCGTATCGAAGGTTTCTTATTTTACCCGCTCTCAGATAAGATATTATATATGATGAACCGCCATACCACAAAGGTGGAGAACCAGCTGCTGGTGAGTACCATTCCCTGCCCGGCTACCTCAAGGACAATGAATCCGTCTTGATTTGCCACCGCTCCGAGTGGCCGCTGAAGCAGATCCTTCTCAGCATTTTTACCATCCCCATTGAGACCATCAATGTCTCGATGTAAGAACCTCCCCGAGATTTTGATAAAGATGTGTTTTTTGTTCTTAATCAGATTCGATTATATTCTTCGAGGACGATCCTTTCTTCGAAAACCGTCATTCATGTCAAAATCTTGCGTATCGAAGAAGGTATATTGTATGCCATTGATCATAAACTCGAGACAGGTATATGGTTTATCCTGATTATAATCTGATCTCAAGTGAAGTGTATGTTATAGGGGGAGAAAGAATTAATAATGTAGATTATGCTTTGTCCCAATTGATGTGATAATAATGTTGAATTATGTATCTAGGGTTTGGACTTGTGGCGGTTTATAGAGTACAAGGGTTTTTGCACCTTTATGGATTGTGTTGCTGGATTTTTTATATTTGTGTTTGCTAGAATTAATAATGTAGAATTAATCATAAGACCATCCAGATTATGCTTTGTCCCAATTGATTTGATAATAATGTAGGACAATGTATCTAGGGTTTGGACTTACGGCGGTTTATAGAGTACAAGGGTTTTTGCACCTTTATAGATTGTGTTGCTGGATTTTTGGTATTTGTGTTTGCTAAAAACACATAGATAGTACCCTTGATGGGCTGGTGGAGGAATTTATTTTTCCAATTTGGTGAGACACTTCAGAATTAGCTTATTTTGGTCAATAGACAGAAATTCTATGATGGATCTGGTATTAGTGACATTAGACTTTTTGACTTAGTGGTTCTTTTTGGGATGTATCACAGTTTTTTTGCCCAAAAAAAAAATAGAGATGACAATTCAGGTGAACTTTGGCTTTAGGTCTTCCACAAGATTACTACTATTAGGAATAGGTTGTCATTGAGTGTGATGAAATCTTATATTGAGAGGAAAGTAAGAAAAAGCAAATTAGAACATGATGGAAGCCTTATTTGATGTTAACTGATTTATATTTTGATGGTTCCATGGTCAGATGGCTTGCCAGCAAAAGTAAAAAAAAATGTTTTCTTGTGCTTCCAGTTTACAATTTAGTATGGTTTCTAAGCTGTCTTTCTTGCCATTTTCCCCTCCTGCCTTTCATTTTATTGATTGTCAATCTTAATTTTTAATTTATATGTCCCTTCAACTCTATTCCTTACCTCTACTTCTTTCTGTTTTTTTTTTTCGAATGAAAACTTCTTCTGTAACTGTTAGTATTCCAATATTCATTTGTTGTAAGTTCCCTATGTGTTTCTTTTCCTATTTTTCACCACCCTACCCTGTCTGCGGTATATGTAATCAAGATTACTTTCGTATCGAAGACTCTAGCAAAGTTATGTTGGCTCACTAAATATTAATGATAATACAAAATCGTCAGTCAGTATTGTCCTTGCAGCCTCTTCTTTTTCTTCATTTCTATCTTTCTTAGATATGAGCTTATTGCTTTTCAAGGGAGGTAGCTATCCTTTACTTTTTCTTGATTACCTGAACCTCCCAGATCTGATATATCAACTTGCTTACTCGAAACTTTTTGCTGTATCTATGTATTCCTGATTGGAACAGCCCTGCATGAATGCCATGAAGGTTGTTGAGAAACTATATAGTATCAGATGATGGTATGAGTTGACTATTTTGTTTTGACACCTCATGCATTCATGTTTCAGGCATTTGATTGGCTTCTTTCTTTGTCTTGCTTTGGCTATATACAGCACAACGAAGGGTCCAAAGGTTGTAGATCTCCGGTCGTTACAACATTTGCCAGATTTATTGAAGAAAACTGATCTGCAAAGGATTCAGTCAGAACTCGTGGCTTGTCTTCCTTCATTGCGTCACCTATCTGATTTGCAGAGATTAAAGGATGTACTGAAGACATCCTTGGCTTCTATGGATGTGCTTCCATCTCTCTTTTGCTGGCACCTACTGCAACTATTATCCAATTGTCTCCCCCTGCAGATTTAAGCATTCTGATCACACTAGTATACCTGTTCTGGTACAGTCTCACTTCTCTCATTCTGCAGATTGAAAAATTCCTACTCGACCTAACATGATCTTTGTTACTAGTCCTAGTGTAAATGTCATAAATTTTTCACAAGGCTCTGTTCTTTTGCCTCAATAGATTGATAATGAAGCACAACTTTTATGAAGATAGTAAAATATTATAAACACTCATCTTACATCAAAACTTTGATATGAAATCATCATGAAACTTTCCAATTTCTGTAGTTATTATCTTAGAAGAATTTTCTAGCATGTCAACGTATGCATTAACTATTTGTTAGTAGTTCTCTTTTCGATTAAGACACGACCGATTACAATCTAAACGACAACCTGAGAATTCATTCTTGTTGCAATTATTGCTTTATTGTACTGATCAAGGTTGCCTATTTTGATGTCAGGGTTGATTCATCATGAATTTAGACTGCATTCTCTTGTTATCTTTTGTACATTTAGGATGTCTTTTCTTCATCCTTACTTCTGGTGTTCATTCTAGAAGTTTATTATTTCAAGCTGAATTTGTACAACACAGTATGTATTAGAAAAATTAGTCACTACATTTTAAAACTGGAGTGTTTTTTTTTTTTTCTTTTTGGAGAGTTTAATGAAGAACTATAAAGATCTTTTTATATGAAATTTTGTGTAAATATGAATAGAGTGCTGGATTTTCATTTTACTCGTCAAACATCTCATTTTTATTAGGATTTTGGCCTAGGAAACATATAGATGATAGAGAAAGGGCCCTATAATTACGAACTATTTGTAATACGACATGGAGTGGTAAATTTATGTTATTTTATTTATTTTAATTTATCGTTGACTAAGTTTATGCCTATTTATATTTCC